TCCTCCTCCTCCTCCTCCTCCTCCTCCTCCTCCTCCCCCCCCTCTCCCTTGTAGCACTGATGATAGTCCCTAACCAGGTCACGAAACGTCCATTCCTTCAATTTGTAAATTTTTATTCATCAGTTTTCTATTCAAGCTAAGAATTGGTGTTTTTTTTTGAGGGGGGGGGAATGGGAATTTGTGGATTATCCATGCCCTCTTTTGCACCTCGACATATTTATTTATTTACACAGGTGTTGTTGTTGTTTTTTAAACTCTCCACTGGTATCCACTCTGGAATTTCTGGACGGAGACTCACTTAGCAAGTAAATAAATCACCAATTTGGGGTTTGTTTGTTTTTTCGTCACCGTTAACTGGGAGGAGGAAAAAGCTTTGAAATTCAGCCGTTCTTTTTTTTCGGGGGTCCGGAAAAAAATAATCACACCTTAGCCAAAGCTTTCTTTCTAGCGATATTTTATTTTATTTTATTTTCTAAAGGATGATTTCAGGATAAAATCAGCCACGACGGTTTTAAGAGTTTTCCCGTGGTTGATCCAAAAGTTTGAAGACGGATAAAACAGTCGGGAGAATCAGGGACTCAAAAATTTTAAAAATAGAGATGAGTGGAGTGATCTTTTTAAACAGCGACTAACAGAATCACAGAGTCGGAAGGGACCTTGGAGGTCTTCTAGTCCAACCCGCTACCTTTACCACTTCAGACAAATGGCTGTCAGTCTTTCCTTTCAAAACTTCTAGTGTTGGACTTCCGGGGGAGGAGCTCGGCGGTGGCGGCAGCTTAACTGAGCTGTGTAAAAGCTGCACCCCACAATATGTTCTTCCTTTTGGGGGTGTGTGTGTCAAACATGGAGAATGCCAGACGTTCATTTTACAAAAATACCCCCCAAATATTAGTATTTTACCCCAAGTTAGAGAAGCAAAACCGCCAGGAGAGGAATTTGGGAACCCCTAAATACAGGTCGTCCTCGGATTGCGACCCCGATTCAGTCCCAAATTTCGGTGGCTAAGCGAGACGGTTGTGACGTCAGTTTTGTCCCGTTTTACGACCTTTTACGACTGTTGTTCAGCGAAGAGTCGCACGGTCCTTAAGTGAATCCAGCTTCCTCCCCCCTTCCCCCCTTGACTTTGCTCGACGAAAGGTCACCAAATGGAGTCAGCCGAGCTCAGGACGCTGCGACCGTCATAAATACGAGTCAGTTCTTTCGAGACTGTTGGGAGCTTGAACGGTCGCTGAGTGAATCGGTGAAGTGAATCTGGCTTCCCCATTGACTTGTCAGGCGGTCACAAAAGGGGATCGCAGGACCCTGGGATTGTCGTAAATATGAGTCAGTCGTAAATATGAGTCAGTTGGCAAGCGTGCCGGATTTCGATTGCATGACCGTGGGAATGCTGCAATGGTCATAAGTGTGGAAAATGGTCGCAAGTCGCTTTTTTCGATAAGGTTGTAACTTTGAACGGTTGCTAAGCGAACAGTTGTAAGTCAAGCACTGCCTGTATAGCTCAACAGCACCCCCTGGTGCCTTTCGTAAGGATGATATCCTGCAAAGATGACTGAGTATTGAAAATCCAGGGGGTCCTCGACTTATGACGCATTGCTTACTGACCGTTCGAAATTATAACCTCCTTCCTGGAGGGGGGTGTTTGTGAGGTTCTGGTGGATGCCCCGCCCACCACAGTCACATGACTGCATTTTGGGGACGGCACTATTTGATTTAAAAAGACTCGTAATATGGGTAGTCCTTGACTTATAACCACTTTCGATCTTCTCAGTTGGCCTCCGCCGAGGAAACATTCGCTTAACAACGGTGTGATTCGCTTAACGACCACAGCGATTGGCTTAACCACCCATGCCAAAAAAAAAAGCCCATTAAACTTGGGTGCGACTCGCTTAACGGCCATCTTGCTTAGCCGTGTAAATTCTGGTGCCCGTTGTGGTCTTAAGCCGAGAACTACCCCACTCGTCAGTGGGTGACCTGATTTACCACCGTCGCGACCTACGGCCGCGATGGGCAGGCTCCATGACGGTCGTAGGTTCGAGGACTACACACCGGTATGATCTAACAGTGACAGTCAACATTTTCTGGGTCATCCTGCAAATTCGGAGCTCCCTGTGGCCAAAATTAAACTTTTGTGGACGTAGCAACAGCCACGCGAGTCCCCTTCGAACGCCGGACACTAGAGAAGGCACCGGAGAAGTTCTCCAAGGCAGTGGATGATGGGTTCCATGCATTGGATGCCCCCTTCCCTCAATTGGGGGGGGGTTCTCCCTGTTGCACCCCAATGTGGAGTCAGGTTAAATGGGAAACTCACAGGAGGCTGCCTGATTAGAGAGAGGGGCAATACCAGAGCGCCAGAAAGCTGGGGGTCTCTTTAGTAAATTAGACTCCCACTCCCATCATCCTGGTTGGGCGATGGGCATTGCTGGAAGACCCCGGACGGAGGAACATTAGGTGCCTTTCATATTTCCAAACGCCTCCTGGCCGGCATGGGGCAGGGGGGGTTTGGATGCCCCACAGCGCCGAGCATCTCCTTTTCCTGGGAGCTGGGGCAACCGGAGGAAGGTGAGGGAAGGGCCAGGAAAACCAGGCTGGCAGAGAGGACAAAGGCTCCCCCGATGAGGAACGAGGCAGTGAAGTCTCCGGTTTGGTCCCGCAGGAAGCCTGGGAAGAAAAGGAGAGGCAAAGAGGCATAAACCATCATTGCTGGCTTAGTCGTGGTTTGTCAGATTAACCCTTGATCTGGCTGAAAATAGAGGCTTGCGTTCACTGTTCGCAAGATTCCCAGGCTGAGCTAGAAAGAACCTGGGGTTTAGTCGTGTTTCTCAAACTTGGTCAGTTCAGGACAGGGGACTTCAACTCCCAGAATTCCCCAGTCAACATGCTTGAAGATGGGCAGACTTCAACTCCCACAATTCCCCAGTCAACATGCTTTAAGCTGACTTCAACTCCCAGAATTCCCCATTCAACATGCTTGAAGATGGACGGACTTCAACTCCCAGAATTACCCAGTCAACATGCTTGAAGATGGACGGACTTCAACTCCCACAATTCCCCAGTCAACATGCTTTAAGCTGACTTCAACTCCCAGAATTCCCCAGTCAACATGCTTGAAGATGGACAGACTTCAACTCCCAGCATTCCCCAGTCAGTTTGCGGCTTCAGATCGGCTCAAAATGGCGATTCGCGCCAAAGGTAACATGGCGGACGTCAACTCCCAGAATTCCCCAGTCAGCCTGGTAGAATATGGACGGACTTCAACTCCCAGAATTCCCCAGTCAACATGCTTGAAGATGGGTGGACTTCAACTCCCAGCATTCCCCAGCCAGGAATGGTTGATCAGAATTCAGCATGGATAATGCAAGAGGGGGAAAAAACACATTTTTCTAAAATTTCCTAGTAGATGGTGGGAATGCAGTAAATGTAATATAACTTGATATCAGCAAAGTGAAAAAAATTAAGCTAAATTAATAAATCAGGGTGTTTGACGGTAGGACAATTAAATGGGAAATTTGATGTGCTGGGTGGGGCATTCTGGGAGTTGAAGTCCACCTGTCTTAAAGGGGCCAGGTTCGCGAAATATTAAGTACCACAGAACCCATCTCGCACCGCTCCCCACCACCTCACAGTACCCCCCCTTTCCTTCTTACCTGAGAGCGGGGGTCCTAGCAAACCCCCGATGCTCATCGACATCATGCACAGCCCTGTAGCATTCACGACGCGGCTGATGCCCACCAGCTCGGGCAAGACGCCGAAGGCCACCGTTGCGAAGCTGCCCGCACTGGCGCCGTAGAGCACCGCCAGGAAGAGCAGGCTGGCGTAGGAGGTGGAGACCGGGAAGAAGAGGAGGGCGACCCCCACCAAGGAATTGAAGGCCACCAGCAGGTAGACGGGGGGCAGGAGACGCCGGTCGGCCCCGCAGCCGGCCAGCAGCCGTGCCAGGGCGTCAGCTAAGGCGGATAGCGACACCACGAAGGCTGCGCGGTATGGTTCTATGCCCAGCGCCCGTCCGTAGGCATCCAGGTGAACGTACGGGGTGAAGTACCCAGCGGCTAGTAGGGCAGTGCCCAGGGCGAACACCCCAAAGCCTCTCTGGGCGAAGAGACCCACGTCGAAGACGGAGGACAACTTGGGAGGGTCTCCCCGCAAGGCCAGGGGCCGAAGGAGCGCCCCGCCGAGCAGCAGGTGGAGGGTCAGGGCAGAAGTAGCCAGCAAGGTTCCTCGCCAGGCGAGGTGGTCAGCCGCCAGGCGCAGGAGGGGAGGGAGGGCAAAAGAGGTCAGGCCGTTCCCTGTCAAGGCCAGACCCATGGCCAGGGACCGTCGGGCGGAGAAGTAGCGCGAGAGAGTGCCCATCGTGGGGGCGAAGGCTAACGCCCAGCCCAAACCTACAGGCGGACAGAAATTTCCCGTAAGGATTTATCCACCATGTTTATTTTATCTTTATTGATTATTGATTTATAATCCACCATTATGCTTACAAACAACTCAAGGTGTCCTCCTATTTCCCTCACAACGGATCCTGTGAGGTAGGCTGGGCTGAGAGAGAAGGGAGGGCCTAAAAGTCATCCAGTCAGCTCTCGCGGGTAACATGGGACTAGAACTCACCACCTCCAGTCATTTGGCTGGCTTTTGTGGCTAAGGCGGGACTAGAACTCCCAGTCTCCTGGTGATTGGCCCAAAGTCACCCAGCTGGCTTTCATGTTCAAGGCAGGACTAGAACTCACCACCTCCTGGTGATTGGCCCATAGTCGTTTGGCTGGCTTTTGTGCCTAAGGCGGGACTAGAACTCCCAGTCTCCTGGTGATTGGCTCAAAGTCACCGAGCTGGCTTTCCTGTTCAAGGCAGGACTAGAACTCACCATCTCCTGGTGATTGGCCCTAAGTCACCCAGTGGGCTTTCATGCCTAGGGTGGGGCTAGAACTCCCAGTCTCCTGGTGATTGGCCCAAAGTCACCCAGCTGGCTTTCCTGTTCAAGGCAGGACTAGAACTCACCATCTCCTGGTGATTGGGCAAAAGTCACCTTAGTGGGCTTTCATGCCTAGGGTGGGGCTAGAACTCCCAGTCTCCTGGTGATTGGCCCAAAGTCACCCAGCTGGCTTTCATGCTTGGGGAGAAACTAGAATTCACCGGCGCCTGGTGATTGGCCCTAAGTCACCCAGCCATCTTGTATGCCTAAGGTGCAACTAGAACTCACAACCCCCTGTTTTCTAGCCTTTTAACCACTAGAACATGGTTCAGGCAGGGGGTCTCTGCAGGGAAGAGGTCAAAAGAGTCAAGATGGCCACCCTGCGAAGACGTTAAAAAGGGGTGGAGCTTCAACTAGGCCCTGGCAGCCATTTTGTCCATTTTTTTTTAAAAAAAAAACAGGGCTGGGTGCAGATTTACGCACTCCGGAAATCAGGTTCTGTCCGACTCACCTGTCAGGAACCCCAGGCTGAGGTATAAGTGGAATAAGGAGGTGCTGAGCGCAGCCCCAAAGATGCCCAAGGAAGACAGGAGCCCCCCCAGCATGACCACCGGACGCGCTCCGTAGTGGGTACTAGCCGCTGTGCCCAGCGGGCCTGTCCAGGAAGAAACAGAGAGTGGGGTGGGTGGGAGGAGGTTGGAAAAGAATTGTCGTTTGTTAACGGAGTCGCGTCTGATTTTACCACCTTTGGCCCCACCCCCGCCGTCGTTAAGTGACTCGTGTGGTCGTTAAGTGATGCCGGCATACCGCGTCAACTTAGCTTGTCGATTTCCCCCAATGGGGGAATCGCACGACCGAACGCCTGAATTTCGACCCCCTCGATTGTGGGGTGACAGCCGTAAGTCTGAGGACTGGCCGTAAGTCACTGCCGTCACTTGGAATGGCCCCTAAATGAACAGCCGTAATTCGAGGATGCTGTTTTCACCTTATGGAGGCATCACTCTCACACTCCAAAGTTAAGTTAGGTTGAGGATTGTGTGAAAAGCAGCCCGGCTGAATGTATGCAGGGCCTTCTTGAGGTTGGCCCCATTGGGGAGGGGGGGGGGACTTACTTGCAAACTGCTGTGTTGCCAAGGTAATGGCCATCACCCAGGACACCTGGGCTGCGGTGGCCTGAAAAGCCTCCACGAGGTCTTCAAAGAGGACGCCGAGGGATCGTAGAATGCCAAAAGTGAGCGAGTTGGCCAGGAAGCCAGCGACGACCACCAGCCACCCCCAACCTCCGTCCGGGGGGTCTTCCAGAGCCGGCATCTCCAGACCGGGGGAGGGTCTTCAAGAGGGTCTGCTCGCCCCACACCTTGTCCTAGAGAGGAAGGTAAAAATTATCTCCATTTCTTTGCAAATGGACAAAATCTGGATCGGCGCAATACTAATCCTGGCCTGCGGGTGGCAGGAGCGGTCTTCCATCAACTTATAAGTTTCTTGTTATGGTGAACCGAAGTGTGTTTTTTTCCCCTCATTTTTGTGTACTTCTGAGTGGAAGATTGTGTGAATTGATGGGTTGTACAGACACGCAAGCGAATGAGGAAGAGGGATTTTGTGGGCTGCTACATTCTGGATAGGCAGTCCTCGACTTACGACGTCTCACTTAGTGACCAAAGTTACAAGGAACTTTGTATCGGTCGTTTTTCACATACACGTATTGGTCGTTTTTCACATATACGAACGTCACCGCATCCCTGCAGTCAAAATTCAGACACTCAGCAACTGGTTCATATTTACGACGGTCGCAGTGTTCATCTTTTGAGACCGTCTGATGAGTCATGGGGGAAGCCGGCTTCGCTTAAGAACCGTGTGCCTCTGCGTGGATTTGCTTAACAACGGTGGTGAGAAAGGTCGCACAATGGGGCAAAGCTCCCTTTTACCAGTGTCTCGTTTAGCGACAGAAATGTGGTCGTACCCCGAGGAAACCTTTGTCGTCTGCCTGCCGTCTCTCCACCTTTCCATTCCCTCCCCTTTCAAGAGACTGGACTGCCGTTCGTCAGAAAGGGTGCAGAGTCTCCTGCTTGGACGAGCCGGGGGGGGTGGGGGTTGGACTAGATGACCTGCAAGGTCCCTTCCAACTCTGTGAATCTAATCTAATCTAACCTCGTTGGGAAACAGATCCGCTCCGATTTAAACCGCCCAGTTAGCCAAGAGAAAGGATTAAACCATAAACCATAAAGGAAAGAAGAGAAGTTGGAACTGGTTGGATTGGTTTTATTGGGAACGGGGGGTGGGGGGGGACACAGGGAGGGGGCTGAGTTGTAACCCCATCCGTCTGGGAAACTGTTTTGATTCTTTTTTTCCTTTCCAAAACGGCAATTTTAAAATTAAAATTGGGCGTTTGTCCAGAATTCAAATGTATGCTTTCCCCCCCCAACCTGGGATTGCAGGTGAGTAGGTGGGTTGCAAAAGGGGAGGGGGAATGAAAAGAGAGGGAGAAGCGGTTGGGGGGCAAAGGGAGACACAAGAAAAACCCCTATACTGGAGGGGCATCACCTACGTCTATGGGGAGGGAGGGGGGATTGGTACCTGGTCAAGGCTTAGGGACAGGAGGGGGGAGCCGTGGGGCAGTGCCGTTCAGCCCATTTGGGGAGGGGGGGTCTCTCGCAGAGGTGGCTTCCTACCGGTTCGCACCGGTACGGTAGAACCGGTTCGTCAAATCTACCCAACCGGTTAGAAGAGGTTCCACCAGTGGACCCCGAAAAGCAGGCCACACCTACAGAAGAGGTTCCAAAATTTTTTGAAGCCCACCCCTGGGGTCTCGGGTTAACTGTACCCCCCCCCCAATCTCAATGAAGGTGTGAGAACCAAGGTAATTGGCAGAGTGAAAAACGGGCTGCGAGAAACAGAGGAAGGTGTAACACCTTTGGGGGACTCAGGTGTGGGTCAAATCCCTCCCCCCTTCCTCATTCCCTGACACCCCCACCCCACCCCATACTTTACCTGCAGCAGCCAAAGGTAGAAACAACACACCTTTAACCAGGTGAGGCGTTCTCTGCCAGGAATTCGAGGGGGGGGGGAGACGTCTGCGTTTTCAGGCACCCGCAAATGGGGCATCGGGGAAAAAGCTAGGAGGAGGATGGATGGCTCCGCCCCCCAAGGAAGGTGGGAGGGTGGGGCTGTCCCTCCTCTCCCCCAGGATTACCGGAGTTGGCTTAGACGTGGAGCTCTCGCCTCACAATCAACAGCCCGTGTGTTCAATCCTAGGTAGAGTGCGACGTTTCTCCGTGAGCACATTGAGAAATGTATCTGCCGAACAAAACTCCTCATTGGCAACAGGAATGGCGTACGGCCACTAAACACTCAACTAGCTATATTCAGTTGCCCGGATTCCACCCCGTAAGGAATTATGGCGTTGTTAAAAGACAGTGATGACAGGGAGGGCCTGGGGCGGCGCCTGCTGGCCCAGAGAAGGCCGGGCAAGGCAGTGCCACCCGTTCGTGGCCGCAACCCCAAACCTCACACCATCGTTTTGTGGTGTGAGTGAAATTCACTCTTCCAAAGTTGAACTGGAATCCTGACCGGGTGCGTGGCAGTAAAGATGACCATTCTGTTGAGCATGTGCGGAGTGCTTGGACAGGGGAACAGGCCGGGGAAAGGCTGGGTTGTTGCCAGTGTGTTCTTTAAAGGAGGGCGTACCACTGTGTTGCAGGCGGTCCTCGACGTATGACGATTCATTTAGTGACTGCTTGAATTTGGAGCTGAATTTATGTATTTCTGACCTTTGCCGTGTCTCGCGATTCCCTCTTTGTGGCCTTCTGACGTGCAAAATTCGCTTAACAACCCTGTTGCTAAATTAACAAGGGATTCGCTTAACAACGTTGGCAAGAGAGCTCGTAAAATGGGACAACTTAACAAACGTCTCGCTTAACAACATAAATGTTGGGCTCAATTGTGATCATACGACCTTGTATTTCCTGGTGTATCCAATTCCGCAGGATTTAATTATTTATTCATTGATTGATTGATTAAATTTATAGAGGTAGTCCTCGATTTACGACCGCAGTTGAGCCCAACATTTCCGTTGTTAAGCGAGACATTTGTTCAAGTGAATTTTGGCTCCATTTTACGACCTTTCTCGCCACAGTTATTAAGGGAATCCCTGCAGTTGCTAAGTCAGTAACTCAGTTGTTAAGTGAATCCAGCTCCCCCGTGGACTTTGCTTGTCGGACGGTCGCAAAAGGGGATCACGTGACTCTGGGACACAACAACGGTCGTAAGTCTGAGTCAGTTGCCAAGCCTATATTTGTGGTGTCCCGCAGCCTAATTTTAAAGTTGACCATGCTATTCACTTTATGCCCGTTGTGTTGACTTAACAACGGTCGCAAGAGAGATCATAAAGTTGGATCGGTCACATGGGTGACCTGTTTTACAACCACCGTGACTTGAGACCGTCAGGGGCAGGCTCCATTACGGTCGTAAGTCGAGGATCTGGTTTCCCAGATTGGGGCAGGGGAGGGGGGTTGATTCTTCAACCTCTGGAACTTTAAGGCAGGTGGACTACAACTCCCAGAATCCCCCAGCCAGCATGTTAAGGAATATCTTTTGTTGTGGTCATTCCATCTACTGGATCCAGCTGTGGTATCATCTAGCCCATGTTCTGCCATTTTACGAAGAAGTCTACCCTGAAACACTCTGGTTCAGGGGTGTCATACTCAAGGCCCACCGGCCAGATCCGGCCCACCTGGAAGGCTGCAAATTACGTTCTGGCAAGCAGCCTTTGTGGCACGAAATGCGATGAGCAGAATCTTCAGAAATACGAACTGTTGTCTCCTACGACCACAGCTCCCCTTTCCTCCTATTTATTCCCCAGCCAGGGAGGGGCCGTTCCCAACCTCCTCATCGTCCGAGTCCACCACAATACTACCCAAAGCGAAGAGGAAGCGTGCCAGCAGTTTGGGGAATGGTGTCAAGATGGCCACACCCACCCAGTTGACCACGCCCACCCAATCATGCTCCCCTCCACCCCCACCCCCGCCCAGAGGTCGACTACAGCCCTGATGCGGCCCTCAATGAAATGGGAGTTTGACACCCCTAGTTAAAGACTGTGTCGGCATCCGGGTAAATTACGTCGGGGCGTTTCCCCAATCTACTAAACGAGGAATTAGCTTTTTCAAAGGTTTTGCGGGCGAAAAGTGGGGAAGTCTCTGAAACAAACAAGCGCTAATAGGGTACAGAAACTCCATTTTTGAGAGGCTAAGAAACTATCACACGATCAACAAACCATCATTCTCGTACTCTTGGGAGAGCCGGTTTTTTTATTCCCAAATAAAATCCGCAGCTTTCCCGGCTTCCCAAAAGAACCACCTCTCGTTCTCCCCTCTCCAAACACCGAGACATTTCCAGCAGTCAGGGGAAAAAAAACGAAACAAAAATGGTTAGATTCGGGGTGCCAATCAATTCTGCCACTTAGAATCCTTCAGCGATGATGGACAGGTCCAAAATCAATAAATAAAAAAAAAGAAAGAAAGGGGGAAAAAAACTCAGAAGTCTTCATATTCTGATCTTCGCTGGCTGGGGTTTTTTTTTTGCCCCAAATTCACCCCAAAGCCAACCGGGTTGGGAGGAGAATTTGGGTGGGGGGGACCGTGCTCGTAACTGCTCCCCCCCCCGTCCTTGGACATCTTGAGTCCACTTGTAACTTAATTTTGGATGGTTCAGTCGCCCCGTCAGTCCTGGCCCAAAGGAAAAAAATATATGTCCCCAATGGGTTTTCCTTCTCGGAGGAATCTTCTCCCCAGCTTCACAAGGTGGTGAGTTTGAAGTCGTAGGATTTCCTGGCCAACTTCTCTGGATCGTTGGAGGCCATTAAGGAGAAATCTTGGAAAATGTCCAGATAGGTATCATCTCCTGCAACCCCAAAAGGACAAAGATATATGTGTGTGTGTGTGTGTGTGTGTGTGTGTGTGTGTGTGTGTGTGTGTGTGTGTGTAGATAGATGTAGATGTAGATAGATAGATATAGATATAGATA